TCTGACAAAGCAGCAGCTCTCATTTACAGTCGTCTCGTTCAGCTCCGTATATTTCTCCTCTCAGTAGGGTTGTTTACAGCACATGATTTCTGTTAGCTTCTTAGCCTAGCCTCCTTCACAGCGACATACGTCGCAGCCAACAGATCCAATCATTTTAAACTTCAGCAGAGGCCACGCCTCCTGCAGGAAATGCTTCTCTATGCATCAAGTCCAGACCCTCTTACGAAGCAAAGTGAAGGACAGGGTCTGGTTTTTACCAGACTATGCTGGATCAGATCCTGTTGCTTGAAAAACAAGGCAGAAAGCTAAACAGAGCATTAGCCTTCCAACTAGCAGTTAGCTTAGCCTTGTTTCTAATCCAGGTCTTGTCAAATGATGGAGTGTAAACTCTCCCTCTGTCTTTGGTCTGCTGCTCTTCATGTCCATCTGATCAGGTCCGAGTTCTTTTAGTTTAACTTTCTCCTGGTGTGTTCTCATCAAAAAGGCTGTGTTATAAGAGACTTAGCTGAGTTGTTAGCTCCTCCATTAGCTTGCTGGGTTTGCACCGTCCTGCAGTACTGAACGTTAGCCCACTACTTGTATGCAAACCACGTTCTGGGTGCAGATCAGCTGCTCCCAGAGCCTCTCTATTCTTTAGCATTGAGGACCTACTGCGCATGACCAGGAGTTATTATTAGACTTCAGTGGTAAAGATTTCTGTGCCCTGACCTGAACCGAAGTGACTCAAAATGACATTTTTCATGAGTAAAATGAAAGTTTATCCATTAATATTAATATAAAAAGTATCTTACACATCTAAAACATGTATAAATGTTTCTACAAAACATTTTATTTTGTTATTTCATTTTTATATTTTTATGTCCCAAAAAATAGTGGTGGGGCGGCGCCTTGGCGCCCTCTATTGACCAGCCGCCACTGAAGAGACACCGCCCATTGTTACATTGGGTGGAGGCCTCCATGTCCAATTTCCTCTGTCTTACAGTGCTGTTATTACCAGTATGACTCAGCCCTCTGTGAACAACAGGCGATAATCAAAGCACTAACAATCAGGCGTTTGGCTGGACGTCCTCTTTTGCATGTGAACAAACAGTTCTCGTCAGACTGAAGACGTTTCTTGGAGAAGAAAGCAAAACATTTTTAACAAAGAAGAACTCTGGATCCAAATCAGGGCCATAAGTTTAGTTCAAAATAAAAAGTTTTTAAAACTGAAAAAAAATAATAACAATTTGAAACCGAAAAG